TGCTCGTCTCTTTATACTTTATTTCTTTTCATTTTTTTAAAATTTAATTTAATTTTTAATCTATTTCTTTATATAGAAATATTAGGACCATACCTCCAAACATCGAGTGCTGAAGCGCAGTATGGCAGCGCGAAGCATTTACGGCTACGCCAGAGATTTCGACCCCGACACCGCTATCCAGTGACTAATCAGGAAGCTCGGCCGAAGCCTAAAGGGAGAGGTTAGTCGGCCCCTAGACCGTAGATGATGAACCCCTTGCTATGATTAGCGAAGATTGCTATCTTTCACTAGCCACTACACTAATATGATCGCCTTGCTCCATGTGGGAGGCCCTTGCGAAAATTTATTACTTAGACATGCGCATGAGTGTTATAAGATAACGGCAAATGTAAGCCAATGAATTCTTGAGGTGCAACTAAATCATTCAAAATCCCTTGAGATATATATGAATAACAATGAAATAATTCAAAATCCCTTGAGATATATATGAATAACAATGAAACAGCCAGCATGTCAGTGGTTGATCTAACAAGAAAAGCTAATGAGGAGTGCTTAGTTATCGTTACCAACATGTCGGGTTTAACATGCAACCCAACACGCTGACCTGAAATAGTGACGTAGAAATGAAGTCACTACAAAACTGAAGTTTCATGAAGCAATAAAAGTTATCATATCACTGTTATCAAGTGCTTATAAGCAACTATAAGTTTCTTCATTTGTTGTCCTGTAAATCCATTATTTCCAGAGGAAAAGTGACACCTCAGTTTTACAAATGTTCTCGATTCTGATTGGCTAGAATTTTTTTCTAAGATCAGTTGGAAGAAATATGGAGTTGAAAGCCTGTTTTGAGGTAGACTTGGTCCAAGTCTCGCACACTATTTTTTCCGTTTCAAACTCGTATTCAGTTAGTGCACTTCCGGTTACGATCGATGGCTTTGAAAGGCGAGCGACTTTCAAAGCCACCGTAACCGGAAGTGCACTATTTAAATCCAATTCTCTAGCAGAAATCAGTAGTGTTTTTCGCCATATTCTTATATCGTTCCAAGAGGAGCTGAATGGCTTCGACGCTAATGGCGGGCGACGAAGGGAGACAGAGTCACGCATGCGCGCAAAATACCTTCTGCTGAAAGATGGCTTACTGGAATGCCGTGTCTTGCTAGCACATCCAGGCATATTTGGGTGTTCTCTATCTTCTGTACATCTAGAGCTGGTTTGATGTGTACTGGGTACAAGGTAACACCAACTACAATCAATTGAAATTATTCAGTCTTTGATTAAGAGGAAAGGAAAGGAAAGGAAAGGAAAGA